AAAGAAAATTTTTTTTTGTTGAACCAAGGCGCCAAGTGAGGTAGTTGCGCCTTACCTGCTCCGGTTATATTTTTCAGATATATAATTTCTCTGAATCCAAATATCGTAAATATAAATGTTTCTGTAATTGGCAAAAAACAACTTTGTTTAATTCCGAGGTTCACCTGAGGTGGTTTTACACAACAAATCGGGGGATATTTTCGATTTGCGGAGCGGAGCGACGGCGCCGAGGAGCGTAGCGACGAGTGCCAATACACTCGTGATCACTGCAACTTTTAACTTTCATAACTTAAAACCGCTATAACTTTCAAACTAAATTCGATCGACAAATTCTGATTGCACCATCGTTTTTAAATAGTCAAAATACATAAGTCTACCACAAAAAAAAATTCAAAATTCAAAATTTGGGAGTTTTTGAATTTCTAACAGTTATAACTCAAAAACTAAGAGTTTGCGCAATTTTTTTTTGGCACCATCATTTTTAAAACGTTGATTTACCTAGGTTTCGAAAAAAAAATTTGAAAAAATCTCTTGGTAGCTAAACTGCAATTGTTCCAAAATGACTTATATAAAATATTTTTTTTTTTTTGTAAACTAAATGTTTAAAAAAGGTGGGCAAGTGGGTGTCGCTCTGCTGTACAGTAGGTTACAAGTGGGTCACTGTATAATGGATGGTATTAAATTTGAATTCAATGATATAATATCATTGTATAAGAAAAACGATTCTGAGCGGTGATGGTATGTCAGTCTATGTATGAGACATATTATATACATATCTATGGTATTAAACAAAAAATTGACCTATAATAGGTACCTATAATAAATTCCAAATTAATCATATCACAATATCCATTAGATACTTATAACGCGTTATACATCAACAAAAACCGTGATACTATCATAGATATATAATAGTACACTTTAGAAGTTTCAAGTACCCACGAATAGTATTATTCAATCACAACAAAATAACTAAAATCGTAATTCTTGGTTTAAATATGAAATTTTGTCTAAATTTGAAATTAAAATGTCTGTAAAAAATAAGTGTGTTTATATATTTTTTAGATTTTTTGGTTACAGTATGAATTATTTAAGAGAATCTTTGTTTTAAATTTTCAACTCTTAGTTATAAAAACTGAACATTTTATAATTTTTTAATTCCAACGATTGATAATTTTCGAGATTTTGATAAATTTTGTCAAAATTCCAACTTTAAATGCTTATAAAAAAAAATCGTGCCTATGTATTTTTAATATTTTTCAACTGATATTGTAACAATATATCAGGAGCCTTGTATTAAATTTTTATACTTTTTGGCCCAACAGATAAAACTTTATTGATATTTATAGAAAAAAAAACTAAAAAAAATTGAAAGCTGTAAATGTCCATAAACAGCTCAAAAAGAGTCAAAATATTTTCAAAATTGTATGGTGTGTAGGAAATGCTAATATAAACATTCAGTGAAATTTTCATGTATCTACAGTTATTCGTTTTTGAATTACAACAAAATAAGGAAATCGCTACATGAGAAATCGAGTGAAAATCCAATGTTGTAAAAATTTGAATTTCAAACGCTCATAAAAATTTAATTTGACTGTCCGGTAGAGATTTTTTTATTTATAAAGGTAGATAATCTTATAAGGAATCTTGTGTTTCATTTTCAAATCTTAGATTTAAAAAGAAAAATTTTTACGAATTCTTAACTCAAAATAATTTGCTAATTTTCGTGATTTTTCCATATTTTGTCAATTTTTGAACTTTAAATGCTTATAAAAAAAATTGTGACTAAGGATTTTTAATATTTTTCATCTGCCTTTGAAACAACATATTAGGAGCCTTCTATTAAATTTTCAAGCTTTCGCAACCAATAAATAAAATTTTATTGATATTTTTAGAAAAAAAACTAAAAAAAAATGGAAAATGAAAATGTCCCTAAACAGTTCAAAATAAATCAAAATATTTTGAAAATGTTATCGTGTATAGAAAATGCAAATATAAACAACCAGTGAAAATTTCATGTATATACGTTCATTTGTTTTAGAGTTACACCAATAACCAAAATCGTTTTTTTGGAAAACCAATTTTGCGTAAAAATTCTCGTTTTTCCTTAATTTTTATGTTGTTTTTCCCGGCGCTTGTGAAAACTACTGGGAAATTTATACTTTTGACCCCCCAAAGTACCAACTAGATTCACTTTCCTATCAGAAAAGCTACTGATGAAGAAAATCCAAGCACTTTTACTGTCCTAAAACGTGATGACAGACACAAAAATATAAATAAAAATATAAAAAGGTGGGTAAGTGGATGTCGCTCTGCTGTACAGTAGGTTACAAGTGGGTCACTGTATAATTGATGCTATTAAATTTGAATTCAATGATACAATATCATTGTATAAGAAAAACGATTCTGAGCGAAGACGGTATGTCAGTCTAGGTTAAGACAAATTATATACATATCTATGGTATTAAAAAAAAATTGACCTATAATAAATTCCAAATTAATCATATCACATTATCACAATATCCATTAGGTACTAATAACACGTTATACACCAACAACAAACCCTGATACTATCATATATATATAATAGTACACTTTAGAAGTTTCAAGTAGGTACCCACGAATAATATTATATAATCACAACAAAATAACTAGGTTTTTTAATATGTAATTTCGTCAAAATTTGAACATAAAATGACTATAAAAATAAACTGTGATTGTATATTTTTTAGATTTTTCGGTAAAAGAATTAACTACTTACGTGAAATCTTGTTTTAAATTTTCAATCCTTAGCTATAAAAACTGAACATTTTATAATTTATTAATTACGATGATTAATAATTTTCGAGATTTTGAAAAATTCTGTCAAAATTCGATGTTAAAATGCTTATAAAAAAAAATTGTGCCTATGTATTTTTAATATTTTTCAACTGATATTGTAACAATATATCAGGAGCCTTGTATTAAATTTTTACACTTTTTGGCCCAACAGATAAAACTTAATTAATATTTATAGAAAAAAAAAACTAAAAAAATTGAAAACTGAAAATGTCCGTAAACGGCTCAAAAAGAGTCAAAATATTTTCAAAATTGTATGGTGTATAGGAAATGCTAATATAAACATTCAGTGAAATTTTCATGTATCTACAGTAATTCGTTTTTTAATTACAACAAAAAAAGGAAATTGCCACATGAGAAATCGAGTGAATATCCAATGTTGTAAAAATTTGAATTTCAAACGCTCATAAAAATTTAATTTGACTTTCCGGTAGAGATTTTTTTATTGATAAAGGTAGACAATCTTATGAGTAATCTTGTATTAGATTTTCAAATCTTAGATTTAAAAAGAAAAATTTTTACGAATTCTTAACTCAAAATAATTTGCTAATTTTCGTGATTTTTCCATATTTTGTCAATTTTTGAACTTTAAATGCTTATAAAAAAAAATTGTGACTAAGGATTTTTAATATTTTTCATCTGCCCTTGAAACAATATATTAGGAGCCTTCTATTAAATTTTCAAGCTTTCGCAACCAACAAATAAAATTTTATTGATATTTCTAGAAAAAAAACTAAAAAAAAACTAAAAATGAAAATGTCCCTAAACTGTTCAAAATAAATCAAAATATTTTGAAAATGTTATCGTGTATAGAAGATGCAAATATAAACAACCAGTGAAAATTGCATGTACCTACGGTCATTTGTTTTAAAGTTACACCAAAAACCAAATTCAATTTTCTGAAAAATCGATTTTGCGTAAAAATTCCCGTTTTTCCTTAATTTTTCTTTTGTTTTTCCCGGCGCTCTTGAAAACTACTGGGAAATTTAAATTTTGACCTCCCCAATGCACCAACGATATTCACTTTCCAATCGAACAAGATACTGAAGTCGAAAATCGAAGCATTATTTCGACTACTTATCGTGTACACAGACACAAAAAAATAAAAAATAAAAAAAAAATAAATAAAAAAAAAAATAAAAAAAAAAACACACATCATTGTAAAATCAATACATTCATCGTTTCACTCAGAATCTAAAATAAAAAAAAAAACACACATCATTGTAAAATCAATACATTCATCGTTTCACTCAGAATCTAAAATATAAAAATATAAAAATATAAAAACATACATCATTGTAAAACCAATACATTCATCGCTCCGCTCAGAATCTAAAATAATAAAATACGATATAAAATAAATCATAATATCATCTTATTTGTCATATGAAATACCATACAATTGCCAACCGACCTTGAAGCTTCAATTCATGACCGGAGTTCGCTATCTAGTAATATATAAAAATAAATCTGTGGTCTTTGGTTGTTATAACTTGGTCAGTGGTTATAGATAGGTAAGCGCATAGATATTATTGTTCTGTGATATTAGATAAGGATATGATTATACCACAGAATTCTGTGATTATATACTGTACAGTGTACACCATGACAAAATAGATAGGTATGTCAGCAACAATACGAGACGTAGTCCAGTTAGCGCATCCCATCCTTCCCAACCGTTGTCGTAGTTCGCCTCATTTCATTGGCCGTTAAATTACCCGGCCTACATACAGAGGTGAACCAGATAATAGATGCCAGATGGGGTGTCGAGTGGTCGACGAACACGATGCGTATCAAAAAGTTACCGACATACCTATCTAATTTGTCATGACTCATAACATAATTTGCAGTATGCACCATCCAAGTCTAGGAGAGAGACAGACGTATCAAGTATAAACACAACACAGAAATCATTCCATTATTCCAAGAAGAACGACAACATTTTACATTAATATTGCAAAGACTTAAGTTTAAAAGTTTTTTTTTTTATAACTAATTTTAAATCAATATTTTTATGCTAGTCTATATTCATCTCATGTTTAAATATTAATTAATTATGTTTATGTTGTAATTTGTGTTTATTGTTAAGATTGTTAAATGTCGATCGAAAATCCATAATTGTAGCTTCGAGACTGATTTTTTTATAACTTATAATTAGTAAAATGGATGACAGTCAAAAGATACTATTTAGCATATTGAAAGAATATCATGATAGTATTATTCAAGACATTCAAGGAGATATGATCTTTGCCTTATTTGAACAACAAATAATTTCAGATATTGAATACAGTAATATTAAATCTGAGGTAAGAAAGTTTTATAGTTAGGTAACGTAAAAGTATTTACAAAATAGTAATGCCATTGTTTTCATATTAATCATAACTAATTATGTAATGGTATTGTATAATGACTCCTACTCTTTCTTTAAATTTTGTTAATTTTTTCCAATTCTCATAATTTTGTAGCTATAATAGTTCCCAGTTAGGACAAAAGGATTAATAATATCATCCTCCTTTACTTATCCTTTCCCCTCTTCATTTCTCATAAAAAATATATGAACAACTTAAATTTGTTGGTTTTTTACGGCACTCTTATGACCCGCATTGATCAATTAGCTTCACTCCGTCCAAAATTGAATTTGGTTTTTGGTGTAACTTTAAAACAAATGACCGTAGACACTTGAAATTTTCACTGCTTGTTTATATTTGCATTTTCTATACACTATAAGATTTTCAAAATATTTTGATTTATTTTGAACTGTTTAGGGACATTTTCATTTTCCATTTTTTTTTTATTTTTTTTTTCTAAAGATATCAATACAATTTTATTTGTTGGCTGAAAAAGCTTGAAAATTTAATAGAAGACTCCTAGTATACTGTTCCAAAGGCAGATGAAAAATATTAAAAATCCTTAGTCACAGTTTTTTTTTCTAAGCATTTAAAGTTCACAAATTGACAAAATATGGAAAAATCACGAAAATTAGCAAATTATTTTGAGTTAAAAATTCGTAAAAATTTTTCTTTTTAAATCTAAGGTTTTAAAATGTAATACAAGATTCCTCATAAGTTTGTCTACCTTTATCAAAAAAAAAATTTCTACCCATAAGGAAGACAAATTAAATTTTTATGAGCGTTTTAAATTCAAATTTTTACAACATTGGATATTCACTCGATTTCTCATGTAGCGATTTCCTTATTTTGTTGTAATTCAAAAACGAATAACTGTAGATACATGAAAATTTCACTGAATGTTTATATTAGCATTTCCTATACACCATACAATTTTGAAAATATTTTGACTCTTTTTGAGCTGTTAACGGACATTTTCATTTTTCAATGTTATTAGTTTTTTTTTCTATAAATATCAATTAAGTTTTAACTTTTGGGCCAAAAAGTGTAAAAATTGAATACAAGACTCCTGATATATTGTTACAATATCAGTTCAAAAACATTGAATATACATAGGCACAATTCTTTTTATAAGCATTTAAAGTTGAAATTTTGACAAAATGTATCAAAATCTCGAAAATTATCAATCATTGTAATTAATAAATTATAAAATGTTCAGTTTTTATAGCTAAGGATTGCAAATTTAAAACAAAGATTCTCATAAATAGGTCAGACTGTAACCAAAAAATATATGAACACAGTTGTTTTTTACAGACATTTTAAATTCAAATTTGGACGAAATTACATAAAAAAAAACCTAGAATAACTATTTTAGTTACTTTGTTGTGATTGAATAACATTATTCGTGGGTACTTGAAACTTCTAAAGTGTACTATTATATTATATCTATGATAGTATCACGGTTTTTGTTGATGTATAACGCGTTATAAGTACCTAATGGATATTGTGATATGATTAATTTGGAATTTATTATAGGTACCTATTATAGGTAAATTTTTTGTTTAATATCATAGATATGTATATAATATGTATTATACCTAGACTGACATACCGTCTCCCTCAGAATCGTTTTTCTTATACAATGATATTATATCGTTGAATTCAAATTTAATATCATCCATTATACAGTGACCCACTTGTAACCTACTGTACAGCAGAGTGACACCCACTTGCCCACCTTTTATATTTTATTGTTTTATCGACTTCAATCATAGTCATTGATCAGTTGTCAGTCACTGTTCAAAAACCATTTTGACTGCATGTTTTTTACAATTATAATATAATTTATAATATAATTTATATTAATAGGTATTATTCAATATAAAAAATTATTTTAGCCCTCACCAATTTACTATTTTTGATCTATATTTAATATTATATTATTATAATAGCTAGACACTTGACATTTTCTAGGCATCTTCGTATCACCATGTAAGGGTGCACTATAAGTTAGAATTTTCCAAAATTCTCTTTGTGAAAAAGTGATCACACAAGGATTTTTGAGTTTCACAATGGATTACAACTTTTTTTTATTTATAAATGATTACTAGGTATTGGTTACAGATAGAAATATTAATAAATTAATAATAATATTAATAAACAAATTAGTAGAAATGAATAATATTTTTGTGTGTATTAATAGTTGTCTTAGGTTACTCGGGCAGATGACTTAAAATATTGAATCAAATCGTCGTATTTACATGGCCACGGTTAATGAAAATATATCTTAAAAAATTTTCCAAAACTACAGGACTGATTTTGATAAAAATTTTAGAGATTATTCTTAGAGATATCATTAATGTTTTGAGAGAAATTTTAATTACGTTAAAAATAATATACTAAATCCAATCAATGACTTGTGGTTACCCGTATATATGTCAAATTATTTCATAAATAGTGATGTACCTACGCCAAACCCCTCGCCGATTTGCTCTTTAAATGAGGTACACTAAAACTGAGATACATCCAGTATAATCGGGCAATACAGCTATATAGTACAAGTATAAATGTTAATACATAAATATGGAAACATTATTTTAAGATTTATGATTCACAAAAAATAAATAAAATTCAATATTTCATGTTAAAATAAAGTTAATTCAAAATTAGGTTAAATGTTGTCCGATAGTACATAATAATATGTAGTACTCGCAAGCCCGGATTAAGGATCAATTAGGCCCTGGGACACCATACACTAAGTGCCCCCCCCCCCTGCAACTTTCACTTCAAAATAATTGTATCATTTTATATTAACGACTTTATGTTATTGTATAATTTTTTACGATACAAAAAATATACAAGGTGTATCTTATGTCATTGTACGCGGTTTCTTTTTAACAATTATGGGTCAATGAAATGGAATTTCGTTAGAACAAAAAAAAGACGTGTTTCTTTATTTTTAACCGACAATTTTTTTATAACGTTTTTAAACAAGGAGTTGTACCTACCAATAATAAAATCATTTTTATTTTTTCAAATGGTAACCACTATATTTTTTTATGGATTCTGGCAAAGATTTTTTCTGAACATTTTTGAAGTCAAATGATCAATTTTGGTTCATCAGGACACTAGGTTATTAACTATGGTCCTCTAAAGTTTTGTATAATAATATGCATTAATACTGTTAACTGAAATACATAATTTACAAGAGCTAAATAATTTTTGCTTATAACTATCTTTTTATACATATACTTATATAATAGTTAAATCGATAATCTAAAATTATCAAAAAAACAAAATTGATGGCAAACATAGTTCATTATTTATAGTAATTTTTCGTAATATAAAATTGAGAACAATTTTATTTTATAATTATTAATAATAATTTACCTACCTACCTACAATAATTTTTTTTTTTTAACTTTATTGGGTGAGTTAAAATATATATTTTGGGGATAAAGATAGACCCCAAAAATCAATGGGCCCCGGGACCTTGCAAACCTTGCCCCTCCCCCCTTAATCTGAGCTTGAGTACTCGCAATCTTATCTATAACCTGATTTGCATCAATATCAGACTCCTAGGAAATTATCATCAATTGTTTTAAATGGTCATGAGAAATTGTTGTTCTCAATCAATTTTTAAAAATGTTTAATGGTTTTGTTCTAGATACTGCTAAATACTGGTATATTATAAGCGACTTAAAGAGCCGTGTATACTGTATAATGTGGGGAAAATGCTCTGTAGTCAGAAATTTAGTGTTTTGAGATAATTTTATATTCAACCAAAGATAAATAATCATACATAATTATTGCACTGTCAAAGAAATTCGTTTTAGGTATACAACGACACAGGAATATTACTAACCTGCTTATAGAGTAATAAAATACTGTAATAATGCATTACCTAGGAAATTCGTAACTGGTATAGGTAATACGTAACTGGTACGTGTGTAAGTACCTAGTACCTATTTACTTTAGTAATAGTATTAATTTCCTGGATAATTTTTTACCCAGACACCCACCACCCATTTAAGGTGGTTTAAATGCACCACCTTAAGTGCATACTCGGCGCCACTGAACCTATCCATAAATTCCTCCATATTTAAACTCTATCCTTTGAAACTGACCAACAGTTCAAATATTCCTTTATAAATAGGCCCAGGTCTTCTCAAAAAAGTCTTCTTTAGAAGACTGCAACCTGATTATTTTCTCTACCCTCAGTGACACCACCTTGTGCAGCCATTACCACCTAGTTCACCGCATGCCTAGTACCTCCATCATATACTCTCTAATTCCTGTACTTTTAAATTTATATGATGTTCACTACTGTAATGCTAGTTTATATTTAAATTGTATTTGTCCATCCTTACAACGGCTGTTTGGCTTATTATATATTCTCATAAATAAATAACATGTTAATTGTTGCTTATAGAGAAACCGCGAGAAAGAAGTTTCTCGTTTGCTTGAACTATTACCGTCAAAAGGTAGGAATGGTATCAATCAGTTCCTAAATCATTTGTCAACACATTATTCATGGATAGCTCGTCTCTTACAACATTCCATAACAATTAAATATAATGTCACGTTTTCAAAAAAAAATCAGGAGTCTTTAACTGCTGGTGAAGTACCTCAATTATCATCAAGACATGTATCACGAGATAAACATGTGTGTATAGTGTATACATTAACTGATTTTAGTTGATTATAATTTATATTTTTGTTGTTTGATTTTTTTATATTAGGTAAAAACATTAAAAAAACTATTAACAGAGTTAGAAGTGAATAATTTTATTATTGTAAATGGTATGACTGGCTGTGGAAAATCTAGCCTAGTCGTTGAAGTGTTAAATGATCCCTTCATTACAATGCAATACTTTCAGGTAGATACATATATATATATATAAATATTTATAAATAGTATTAATTTATTTGTTTAATAGTTAGTTGTAAATTGTAATTACTAGTTCACATAGTATCATAAAATTTCTGTTAAATTTGAAATAATAATTTTAGAAGCAAGAAGAGTAAGGTGAGTAAAGTTCTTTCCTTTTAAAAAAAAAAAACAAATATATAATGGTCTAGGGCAGCGTTAACAAACTTTTTAATCATGGATCTCTAAAGTTGCTAAAAACAATCTATAGAGCCAAAAAAAAACTAGGAATGTAAATTTTAAACCCATTCGACTAAAAGTTTGAAAAGTTGAACTTAATATAATTTAAATTTGTCTGCTGAGCCCCCACTTTCAGAGCCATTGGGCCCCACTGAGCAAAGTTTGAGAACCCCTGGTTTTGTCCATAAATAAATTGACGTAGATTGTCTGTATTTTTTATCGTAGTTTTTCAAGATATAATATCTATATATTGTTATTGGTTGTTTTAAGTAAAATAATTTGTTCGGCATAATTTATAAAAGACCCAAGCTTATCATTTTTATGAGTAAAGTTTATTTGAATACATTTTTAATAAAATACCATCTTTCAATTAAGAATAACAATTACTTATTGTTAGGTATTACCTACCTAATTATTTTTATTTGTTTCATTTGCAGGGATTTGTACAATGGATACACGTTGGGCGAGAAAATTCTTCACATGCTGAATGTATTCAAACTGAAATATTAAATAGATTAAATAACCAAGAACAGCTTATTACACCTCCTCTAATTATAGATTATGAAGATACAAGGAAAAAAATTCGAGATTTGTAAGTAAAGTACATAATTCAATAATATTGTATATTTAAAATAGGTAAAATATTGGCACCTGTTTACTATAACTTAACTTTTATGTATTTGCACAAAATGTATAATGTAATAAGTTTTTTTTTCACGCTTGTACCGAAAATTTAGTTTTCGATGACGGTTGAAGCGTTGGAAAGAGACCATTTTTCGTCCAGCGGGTGGTAAACTTGAATCCCAATAATTACAATACAGTAAAGTGGAAATCCCCAAAAGTGCTGGGGGTGACAAAAAATAGTATATGTGGTTAAGGGAAGGCAATTTCAGTCTTGGGCGAAATGCAGCCCTTGCCTGCTGCTCGTGCCGCACACTTTGCCCTTGACTAAAATAGCCTACTTTCCCTTGCCACACAATATACTATTTATCATTTTGAAAAAAATTTTGTTAAGTGTTTGTTATAGCTCCACCGATGAGTGAAATTTTATAGCCCCGCCACTCAGGTTTGTTATCTCCCATCCATAGTAATAAATACATTGTATAAAAATTTAAATTAAAAAATGGAATAATATGTACATTATAAATAAATCTTTAAAATAATGGATAATTCTTAAAATGAAAGATCAAGAAAGAGAAAGATGAGCAAATATACATTATCAAGACACAAATAATGGCAATAATGCACGCTCGTGTTCGAGATACAGGTGTGAAATAATTAACAGAGCATTAGCTAAAATGATGGCTGTAAATTAGTTGCCATTGTCATTTTGCTCAAGTAACGGTTTTCTTGATTTCATGTCTGTAATAGAACTAAACTACCATGCGAAAACCATGCTAACTATTGCTAACCATGCAAAGACTACGCCACTGAATTGATTATTATTATTAGTATTAATAATGTTGTTATTGTTATTAATTATTATTATTGTTAGTACTGAATACATAGTTATAAATTCTAATATATTATATTGGTTAATTAATATAATTATTATTCGTGGAACATTTATTACACTCGTATTTTAAAAGCGCGCCTAAAATCGTTGCCTCTTATAAATATCAATAAATAAACTCATTATTTTATATTTATACGATGTAGGTATTTATTTTTATGGATGGCGGGGAGATAACAAACTAGTACTAAAATCAAGCCCGGATTACGGATCAATTGGGCCCTGGGACACCATACACTTAGTGGGCCCCCTTTCAACTTTAACTTCAAAATAATAAATAATTGTATCATTACATATTAACTACTTTATAATATTGTATAATTGTTTACTATACAAAAAATATACAGAGTGTATCTTATGTCATTAATCGCGGGGTTTTTTAGCAATTATGGATCGATTTGGAATTTCATTAGAACAAAAATATACGTGTTTCTTTATTCTTAACAGGCAATATTTTTTTTATAAAATTTTTAAACACACAGTTCTACCAATAATATAATCGACTTTATTTTTTCAAATTGTACCTAACCACTATATTTTTTTATGGATTCTGGTAAAGCTTTTTTTTTGAACATTTTGACGGTCAAATGATCAATTTTGGTTCGCTAGGTTATTAACTAAGGTCCTCTAAAGTTTAGTATAATATGCATTAATACTTTTAACTGAAATATCTAATTTACAAGAGCTAAATATTATTTTCTAAACTACCTATAAACTTAAATAGTGAAATCGGTAATCAAAAATTCTCAGAAAAAAAAACAAAACATAAACAAAATTGTTGGCAAACACAGTTCATTATTTATAGTAATTTTTCGTGATATAAAATTGAGAACAATTTTATTTTATAAATATTATTTATTAAGTAATAATAATTTACCTACTATACCTACCTACTTCAATATTTTTATTTTTTGAAACTATTGGACGCGTTAAAAAAATATATTTTGAGGATAAGGATGGGCCCGGGACCGTGCCCCTTTGGCACCCACTTAATCCGGGCTTGACTAAAATTGTATTATATTAAATCTATATGCTAATCTGGTGCATATTTAGTTTTATTTCAGGGGGTGAGAGGCTGATGAAAAAATATAAATAAATTATATACTTAAATACCATTAAGCAAAAAATATCAAAAATGATAATATAATCAGTATTAGCAGTTTTTTTTTTTTTGCGCATGCTGTATGTCCATGAGTAGGCCCAATGTCCGAGTTTGGAAGCCTATTTGGCAGAATTTCTAATTAGGCACCCGTAGGTTTCTGCCATGCCCGGTATTTGCAGTAGCTTGTGAACATTTGTAAGCCATAATGCATAACATATATTTCAGTACCTATTCACTCTTTATCCACTTAATATAATATTTAAAATAAAATTTCTACCATGCTGACTTGGCGTCATAAAACTGGTTACCACGCCACTGATTATTAGTATATATTATTAAGAGGATGTCACACCCGCATGTGTTGTCTCCGTTTAACAATTGTACAGCATAGCTAAAATTGTTTTTCACGGTACAACTTTTCTCGCACCATATTTGTTGTAGAACTACCAAATTTTCACAACACGTAAAGAAGAACTTTATCTGTGCAACAGCTTGCTGTTTTTTTTAATAGCACTATCCAATAATTTTTTTAAGAAAATGAACAAAACAAAAAAACCAAATGTTTAGAAGCAAATAACTTTTATTGTATTTATGTTATCTAAAATATGAGCATTGGGCACGCTGTTGCTAGATAATTTTCCACCCTATATGGACAAACATTTTGAAGCCACTACTACACAGAAAGATAAAAGTTGTCCTGCACATAACAGTTTTTGCTATGTTGTACATTTGTACGACGGAGACAACACATGCTAGTGTGACATCCTCTTAAGTTGTGAACTATAAAATTTATAATAAATAGTTAAAAAGTTATACTACTCTGCTGTGCATTAGGTGCCTTGTGGCGGGTCACTGTAATGGAATTACTGTGAATTACAATTACTTAAATCAATTTGTCAAAAACTGGTTTTACGTAAAAATCTGTTTTTACCGACACTTTAAAAGCTATTTATAATTTTTTTAATCTTGATTCTTCAAAGTATCAACTAAGAACAATATATATATATATTCCAGAGGGTTGCGGCACCCACAGCCCCTCGCCCACATCATAAATACACCCCTGATAATAATTTTGTAGCTTTATTTAATTGTTTAATTATAAATTATATAAAACTAATACTAATTAATGTTTATTTATGTAATTAATTATAAATTATCTATGTATGTAGATGGAAACAAAAAGCATTAACCGGAGGTTTATTGATTTTGGATGATGTATGCAGTAATGAAATAGTTAAATCACTGGATATTGGATGTAAAATATTAATAACAACAAATGATATAAGTATTATGGATGATATAATAAATACTCGAGTGAAATATTTAAAAGTAAATGAAGGATTTGAAGAAAAAGAAACTTTAGATTTATTTTCAAAATGTTTAAGGGTCGACTTTAAGTCTTTACCTTCACATGCTTCAAAACTTCATAGTATATGCAAAGGTATTACAGTTTATTATTATAATAAAGGTATTACAGTTTTTTTTAATGTACTATGATTTGAATTTAATATATTTATTTAGGATTTCCATTAACTATTTCACTTATTGCTGCTCAACTTGAAATTCATAGAGAAGAAACCATTAATAATACTGATAGATGGGAATTTTATTTGAATGAATTATCAGATAAAACTAGTGAACCTTTTAAGTAATTATCATTTTAAGATATTGTAAAACATACTAATAATAGTTAAAATTGTGGATTGATTTATCTACTTCCTTTGACAAGCGAATTTGCCTGGCTATAGAGAATACTATAGTTATAGTTGATACTTATAGTTGGTAATGGTAGGCAAGGAGAGGATATAACAAAAATCTTCATGTGGAAAGTCTGTATGTTCTCTCTTGAAACAAAGTATAATCCCTATTTGTTTTGGAGGAGAGGTAGAGTTAATTAATTATTCATAACACGTTCACTGCGGTGTTGAAGTACAGAGTTTAATAAAAATGTAATTATTCAAGAACATAACTATTGTTCCATCATTTAATATTATTCCAAAACAGAACAATTATAGTACAGGAATAATGATATTTTAGTTGTTTCTGAGTTATGATTCCTAAATTAATTTTTATTATTAAAAAAAGTTAGATTCTGCTTTGTTCTACAGTAGGTTACAAGTGGGTCACTGTAATGGATGATGTTAAATTTGAATTCAATTATATAATATTATTGAATACAAAAAAACTATTCTGAGCGGAGACTGTCTGTCAGGCAGCCTGTATTATAATAATATTTTTAAATTACAACAATTTACCTAAGATTGTTATTCGTTGCTTAAAAAATCTAATTTTGTCCAAATTTGAACTTAAAATAATAATTTAAAAAAAATTGTGTTTATACATTTTTTTTAGATTTTTTAGTGACACCAACTTATGCGAGATACCATGTTTTAAATTTTAAATCTTTAGCTAAGAAAAACGGAAGATTTTGTCATCAGTAACTCTACAAAATAATTTGGACACAATTTTGTCAAATTTTAAACTTTGTATGATTATAAAAAAAATTAATAGTGGCTATACTCAAAACACCGAGAGAACATAAGTTTCTTGCGCATCCAAATGAAGGCTATCCGCCGTCTCGGGTTCTAAATTCTCCTACCCTGGGGTACCCATATGTGTATTCAACGGCGATGCTGTGCAGTCTAGCGGCAGCAGCGGCGACTTTTGACAGGTGGCCTGCGCTGGTAAAGTGGTAGGAATGAGCAGCAATAGACAAGTTTTGGGTACTTGTGTTCTTTCGGTGAATTAAGTATATGTATCTATAATATTTTTTAACAGTTATTTTAATAACTTAGGATAAACCTTGTATTAAATAAGGCTATATAAATCAAGCTTTGATCCAATTGAAAAAATGTACTAATAGTAATAGAAAGAAAAAAAAATAATTGAATGAATATATTTTGAAAATTTAACTGTGTATAGAAAATTTGATTTTACCAAAAAAACTATATCCGTTTTTTCAGAAACTGGTTTTACGTAAAAATTCCCGGTGTTCCTAAATTTTTGGTTTGTTTTTCCCAACTCTCGGCAACTATTACTACTGTGAATTTTTAACATTTTAACTTTCAAAAGTACCAACTTTATTCACTTCCTCATCAGAAAAGATGCTGAAATTGAAAATTGAACCATTACTTCTACTACAAAAAATGTTTAAAAAAAAACCACACATAATTATAAAATCGATAGATTCATTGCTCCGCTCAGAATCTGAAAGAAATAATACTAATGCAAATAAACAATAAATATAATTTTACCAAATAATTAGCACGATTTTACTAAGGATATAAATATTATATTTTTAACTAACCTAATTGTTAATATCATAAGACATAACTTGTCGTAACAGTATAAGTGTATATATTTTTTCTATAGATATACACGTCATAGTCAAAATCAGTTTAAGAGTCTTGAAAAAGCAATAGAAATGTGTATAAAGAGTTTGCCAGATGACTTACAAAAGAAATATCAAGATTTTTCTTTATTTGTAGAAGATTTAAATATCAAACCAGAAGTAATGTATAATTTAATATGATTTTATATTATATAGGAATATATTTTATTCAAATATTTACATTCTAGGTTTTATCAATACTTTGGAATATAAATCCAATTGAAGTTGAAGATATCATGTCAGAATTAATGCGAAAGAGTTTAGTAGTTAGAGTTTGGAATCAACCTTTAAATAGCTATGTTTATTCAATACATGATTTGCTCTTAAGTAATTTAAAAAAAATGATAAATCATCAGGATTATAAAGTAAAACTCAAAGTTAAAGATATTTAATGAATTTGCTTATAACTTTTTGTATTATCTGTGTTTAGGCATTGCATAAAAAATGTATTGATCGCTATAGAGATTATTGCAAAGGAAATTTTGCCAATCTTCCAAAAACTGATAATTATATATTTTTATATTTTGGATATCACCTTAAAAATGCTGATATGCTAGATGAATTTCCTCGGTGGTTTTTAAATTTAAGGTTTATTGAATCGAAAATATGTGCAACTGGTCCTGCTGACTTATTAGCTGATTTGAAAAAGTACAAAAAATATATTGATGTACAGGTGAAATTTTTAATATAATTAATATACTAGAAATAATTGATAGATTTATTTTGTTTTATTTCACTGTCTATTCAATAAAATATTTTTAGAGTATTTATCATGAGTATATTAAAGAAATTGAAAATTTTGTCAAACGTTGTGGACCTAATTTATATCGAACTAAGTGTGATATTGTCCAGCTAGGCCTTCAAGAACCGGAAACTTCTTTTATATATACTGAATCATATAAACTTGCCAAAGCTAGTACGCAATTATATTTTTACTATGAGTGAGTTTAAATTGTATTATTATGTGCTAAACAGCATTCATACGAATAACAATTATTTTTAGTATTCGACCTTCTCAAAATTTTCATCCAGAACCTCATATATCTATTGTCAGAGATAAAATTGAAACAGTTATTTTTGGAAATCGGCATGATGAGGTTTTAATTGCTACTAATAGTGGAAGTATAAAAGTAAATAAAATACATTTTAGTTCTATTCAGGATGTAACAGGAAGACCTGATAGATGAAATAACATTTGTTCTAATGAATATTTAAATTTTTTAATGCTGAAAATAAAAAAAAATTAATTTGATTTTAATATTTTTGGTTAAATTCAAAATAGCCAATTTGTGAATCTGATGTTTAAGAACAATTTTGATGGTAAAACATTTATCTAAGTCCAGTAATTTATATTTTAGAATTTTTTTTTAATATCAATATTTTTTTGATTAAATTAATTTAGAACGTAATAATTTTTTTCAAAATATTTTAGGAATTTGCTAATATGCGTATACTTTTTTAATTATTTACTTATTATATAATTAAAAAAAATTTTATCATAAGTTTAAGTAACATCTTTTATTTTTAGTCAGGTGTTCCTGTTACACCCTGTCAAAAATCATATTTTGTGAAAAAATTTTATTGTTACTTAATTAATATGTTACAGTTATGGAATATTATCTCTGATAAATGTTTATATTTTTATAATGGTCACACCAAAGCAGTTACTCATATGGTTAAAAATAAATTAAAAAATCTATTTTTGTCAACATCTGATGATTCAACCATACGTATTTGGAATATGAAAAGTTTCCCTGAAACTGAAAGTAAATATTATTGTAATTTATTTATAACATTAATGTTGTATTTAATTAAAAATATTTTTTATTTTGAGATTCAAAAACACGAACACCATCACCCGAATCTAGACAAGAACATTGGCAAAATGTATATCATCAAGATTATAAAAGACCAACTGGAAATACTAATACTGATTGTGTTTTTGTGTTAGAACATGATTCACCTGTCATTTTTGCACAATTCTCTCCATATGATTATAACCTAGTTGTTTCATCCTCTACTGATAAAACTTTAAAGGTGATTTATAGTTAGGATACTATTTTAATATTTTTGAAAATATTATCTTTATTTTATGTTAAAATGTTGCAAAAGAAAACCATATTTTAAATAATTTGATTCTGCATGAATATGAGCCAAATTTTAATGTTATAGTCCTTGCTAGTCCATTAAACAAATTTAAAATGTGTTATAAATTCTTGTTTTTAACCAATGTGTGAACCAAATCTCTTATGAAGCTTTTGACTCCATCCAAAAATGATTATTCGTACACCTTTATTATACCCAATAATCGTCAATCGAGCATATATTCATCAAAAATTAAAATATGTTGTTAGAAATTTAATTTATTCTTTTCCTAAGAAAGTTAATATAAACATCTCATATAAACCAGATTTTTTATTTTATTTTATTTTTATTACAATAACATAATATTATGTCAAAACATAAAAAATCTTGAAATTTATTTAATTATACTATTTACAATGTTTAAAATGATTTTAGCTCTTGGTTACATTATACAGTAGTCACTGCTCAATAGACTCAACTACACTGGTCAATGGGATCATTGTATATTAAATATTTTTAAGGTCACATTTTCTCAGTTTTTAATTAGATTTTCCGATTTTATCTCTTATAGTTTGACAAATAATATTATTTGCTCGACTTATCCCATCAAAAAGTGTTTAAGATTTAAAAATATTTATATACGTCATTATTTACAGAGCAAGACTTTTTTTTATAAAAATAAAATGTTCCATATTTTAATTCTGAGCGTAGAGAATGAAATATATTGTATTTACAATGATGTGTGAAAAACAAAAAAAAAAGGTGGGCAAGTGGGTATGTTCTGCCAGTGGTGTATTTAGGGGTGGGTTTAGAGGGCTGCAGCCCCCCTGAAATTACAGTCTTTTTAAATAAAACAACTATATATTTTATTAGGTACTATTGTAAGTTATAATATTTCATAGCCTGTTGAAAAATAACAAATACGAATATATTTATAGAAACTGTTAAATATATAGTAGACAGTAGCCTCTAAGTAATATATCACTTGCTAGTTTCTATCTACTATAGCCCACCCCAAAAATTATTTCTATATACGCCACTGCGTTCTTCTGTACAGTAGGTTACAAGTGGGTCACTGTAATGGATTGTGTTAAATTTGAATTCAATGATATAATATCATTGCATAAGAAAAATGAATCAACAAAAGAAAAATTAAGGGAAAATGTAATTTTTACTCAAAATCGGTTTTTGAAAATATCAATTTTGGTTTTTGTTGTAACTCTGTAATACATGAAATTCTGACTGAATGTTTATATTAGCATTTTCTATACACCATAACATTTTCAAAATATGTTGAGCTGTTTACGGACATTTTCAGTTTCCAATTCATTAATGTTTTTTTTTTTCTATAGATGTCAATAAATTTTTATTCGTTGGGTCTAAAAACTTGAAAATCGCATACAACACTTATAACATATTGTTACAATGGCAGTTGAAAAATAATAAAAATATATAATCACAATTTTTTTTATAAATATTTAAAGTTTGGATTTTGACAAAATACGTAAGAAATCTCAGTATTGAGCAAATTATTTTGAGTTAGAAATTCATAAATAATTTTCATTTTAAATCTAAGATTTGAAAATTTAGTTCAAGATTTCTCATTCGTTTATCTATCTTTATCAAAATAAAAAATGTCTACTTGAAAGTCAAATAAAAATTTTATGAGCATTTGAAGTTCCAATTTTTATAACATTGGATATTCATTATTCAGTCAATTTCTCATGTAGCGATTTTCTTATTTTGTTATAATTCAAAGATCAAAACAGTAGATACTTTAAATTTACATGATATGTTTATTTTATCAATTTCTATACTTGATAAAATTTTCAAATTATTTTTACTTCCTTTGGGCTGCTTACAGACATTTTCAATTTTCAATTGTTTTAGTTTTTTTTTATAAATGTCAATAAAATTTTATTTTTCTGGGTTAAAATGCTTGAAAATGTTGTACAAGGTTCCTGATATAGTTTTACAATAGCAGTTGAAAAATATTTTAAATACATAGGCACAAATTTTTTTAAAGTATTTAAAGTTCAAATATCAACAACATTTATGAAATTTAAAAATGATTTTGTAGTTAAAGATTTATAATATGTTTAACTTTTATATCTAAAGATTGACAATTTAAAACAAGGTTCCATGTAAATAGGTAAATAAACTACTTTATTCACAATAATATCAGCAAATATACTTAGTAATATATCATTGGCTGGCTGACTGACCGTCTTTGCTCATAATCGTTTGTCATATACAATGATATTACATCATTGAATTCAAATTTATCACTATCCATTTCAATGACCAACTTCTAACTTACTGTACAGCAGAACGACACCCACTTGGCCACCTTCTTTATTTTGGGACTGATTTCGGTGTTATGAGGGGGTACTTTTGTCCTTCTCCTATTTATTTATACAAGTATTCTAGACTGACCAAACATGCTTGACAACTACTGATCAGCAAAGGAGTACCCACTTGTCCACCTTTTTATATTTTATTTTATAAAATAATTAATATTATATTTATGAAAAATAGATATGGAAATTGAGAAAAGGCAATTATGTAATTGAAAGGTCATTCACACTTAATTGTATCATCAATAGATGTTATTTTGTTGGAAATATGGGAAATATGACACATGCAGCTAGAATACTTTTTTCAACAATTCCAAATAGTGCAATTACAACTAGTGCCATATATAGATGTGAATGGCCGTTTGACCATTATGCTGGATTATTTTATTTCAAAGAAAAATTGTTATCATTTTTGTATCTACCTAGTTCAGAAGGTGATTATAATAAATTGTTTTAAGTAAATATGCATTTCAGAAAAAAATATATATAATATATGATTATAGGACAAGATAAATTGCTGGTTTTGACACCAGATCTAGTGCAAAGTTATGAATTTAACTGGGAAAATGAAAATGAAAATAAAACTTCCCTACCATTAGTCCAGCATAATCCAGTAGCTTACCGACATTACAAATTGTTTTCTATTTCTGAGGAGAATACAAATAATAATTTACGGTATATAGCGTTTGGTCTGAGTAATAGTACAATAAAAATTTGCAATTTATCCAATGGGTACAATTTTCTGGATTTGTATAATTCTAATGAGTAAGTACAGTATAATATTGGTTTGTCTAATAATATTGTGTTTATTTTAATTTTAATTTTTCAGAGGCATATCAAACTTAGACTGGTTTTGGTCTGAAACAGATCAGAGTAACTGGTTACTTAGTGCTGCTAACAAATCTATTAGATTATGGTATCTAAAGGATATTACGCAATATGCTTGTGCTCATAAAACAAATCAATCCAACAGTAATTTTGAAAATAAGTGCAAAAATGAAATCTTACCTCTTCAAAACTATAAATTATTTTCTAAAGATCAAAATTTATATTGTTATAAACTCCAACGAAATTTTGATGCAGTATGGGTGGATAATGACTCTGTATTAGTTGCAGCTGTTAATAAATGTGGTACATTAAAGGTAATTTAATAGTTATAATCTAATTATAAAACAAAATTTAATAATATTGTTAAATATTTTATACTATTTTGGCATTGACGTGTCTATGGTGCATGCTAGGGTGGTACCTTGACTGCCTCTGAAATTTTCAAAAGGTGCTGGTCATTGAGGTTTAGGATGGGTCTTACAACTTTTATTTTTTAGAAAAATTTTTTTCTTGCATTGTTATAAAGATATGTTTGACTAAATTAGGTAGGTAGTATTGTTATTTTGTTAATGACATGTATTGTCAAATTGATGATTATTAACGCAAATCGCAATATAATATAACTTTAAAGACTTGAATGCAGAGAAGTACCATAGAATATGTCCTGTAGACACGGTGCAAAGTTGTTTTGCCGACCCCACCTGAATTCAGAAAAACCTATACTATAAAGACAGACGACAGTACAGTTTTCATCTATTATTGGATATTGTTATAATATTGTTTGGTTTGTAAGTAGTTGTAGTCCTGGGCCATATCTAGAGTTAAATTTAAACTTTAAAGGTACTTAGAATACTGTACATTATTAATAATAGATGATACAGACTACTTTTTAGATTATTTAAATATTTCCAATGCTTGAATTGGGAAAAAATTAGAAGGGGGATGCAAAAGTGTAAAAAATATGCGCTTACCTGAATATTGAAATATCTTATTGATTTAGATATAATTAAAAAGGGTTCTCATAAATATTTTCTACAAAGCAAAGGGACTCTGACCCCCTGTGTCACCCACCCCTCAATTCAAGCACTGAATATTTTATTGGAATATGGCCTTGGGTGTATGAGACGTTTTTCAGTTCATGATGTAGTGGTGCTGTGCTGGTCATTAGCTAGGTTTCCGCTCCGGATGAAGTCTAGTCATACCTATGTATTTTAGTATTTTAGTATTAATAAAAAGTTATAATTTTTGTAGGGGTTATTTTATCAGATGACATATATTTTATTTTATGAATATAATATATGTATAATTGTTTGATAAAAATGCATATTATAGGGTGCATTAATTTTGTTTTGAAGTATAAAAATAATATAATCACTAATAGTTGAACTATTTTTGGACTTTTGTGCATCTGATTAATAACTGAATTGTGATCAGTGCTGCAACTAGGATTTTAGAGGCCCCGGACACAATCAATTTATAGGATCCTGAGTGAAAAGCCCTAAGGCTTATAATGTAAATGATATTTTTCCATAGGCCATAAATCATCAGTTATATAATTAAAGGTAATGGTCGTTTTTAGGGTTCCGTACGGTAAAACGGAAGCCTATTTCTAAGGCTCCGCTGTCCGTCCGTCTGTCACCAGGCTGTATCTCATGAACCATGAAAGTTAGAATGTTAAAATTTTCACAGATTATGTATTCCTGTGGCTGCTAGAACAAAAATTACTAAAAATCCTAAAATATATAATATAAGCAGTGTTGCCAATGTGTTTATAGATGATGGTACGGGACCCTTCGTGCATGAATCCGACTCGCACTTGGCCGGTTATCTTATAGTAAAATCACCTATATCACAAAAATTATAGAGTATCATAATTTTGAGGGTTTGACATAAGTAAGGGTTATTTTTGAAGGTTTTATATTTTATTATTATTTGACTTTGTATTCTTTCATCAAAGTACTTATAATATATTGTTTTTAAAAAAAAAGTTCCAGCATGCATATTCAAAATAGTAAATAATACAATTATATCGTATAGTATAATTATATTATACATAAGTTGTTGGTATATATTTTTAATTATAACTCATAAGACAGCTTCAATTGTGTGGTTACTACCTACAGTGTTGTTCTGTAATAATAACAACTTCTCATGCGGTAGCTGTAGCCAGTAGCTAACCACAATATTGGTCCTAAATTCCTACAAATCCTCAAATGTAATGAACAAATAAGAACAATAAATGTGAAAATACAAAGAATATTTTGAGAATCCCAATCGTGTACATAGGCACAACTAGGGGGGTGCTTGGGGGTGCTTCAGCACCCCCAAACTTTAATTTAGCACCCCCAGTTCAAAAACAGCAAAAATTGAAAAATCATATGAAAAAAATAGTTTTTTTTAGCTTAACTTAATGTTTTTTTTTTATTTCTTTGTTTTTAGCAGAAACACAAATTATTGTTTGTAATGATTATAGGTACCTATATCAAATATTAGAATTTAGAATTCTTCAAATTTTTTTGGAAATTTTCTGTTAGAAATTTATAAAAGTTTTTCCTTTCATAGCTAACATTATAAATGTTGATAGAAGACTCCTCATAATTGGTACTATCTTAAATAAAAAAAAAGTTTACTGGAAAGTAACATACATTTTTTATGAGTGTTTGAATCTAAAATGTGTACAACATTGAACTTTCAATTTTTATCAGTAAATTAACGAAATTTCATCTACCAATTTTTGATATTATATTGTCCTAGTATAGATACTTGACATTTTTATCAAATGTTAAAATTAAAATTTTCCTTACATGGTAAAATGTTTAAACAATTTTAACTCTTTTTGAGGTATTTATAACTGAGAAATTTTTCAAATATTTTTTAATTATTTTTCATTGGCAATTCATAAAATATTTTCTTTTCACAGTTAAGGCCCAAGATTAAAAATGTTAATAAAAGATTTCACATTAGTTTGTCTACCTATAAAAAAACGTATACTTAAACTTGAATTTTTTTATGAGTGTTCGAACTTATAATTGTCACGATATTCGATATTCAGCGGTAAATCGAATTCTCAGTAATCGTTTTTTTTTGGATTTTGTTGTATTTCCAAAATGAATAACCGTAGACTCTTGAAATGTTCACCAAATATTTATATTAGCATTTTCCATTCATCGAAAATTCTTTAAACACTTGAATTTTTATGAACTATTTATGAGAAAATTTTTCAAATTGAATTCAAATATAACATCCACTACAACGACATTCTCAACAACTATTGTACAGAAAAGCGGTACCCACTTGCCCACATTTTTTTTATCCATTTATACATCCAGGTTACTATTTTTATCACCTAAATAATATAATATACCTCATGTATTCATCAGGTATATTACTGTTGATTTACTTAAATATTAGTGTCCTTATGTGTTCATGGTGCATTTAGGAATGGTTATAGTAATTATAAAATCAAAGTATGACGTATGTTATTTTGGGGTGTGGGGGCGTAGCCCCAGCGGGTTTGTGTTCTCTACATAATTTTAGCACCCCCAGTGTTTGGCCTCTAGTTGCGCACTTGCGCCTATGATCGTGTACATAAAAATAACTCATTGAACACTATAGTAATGTTATCAATACAATATACAATATTATAGCTTTAAGCTTATAAATTATAATATATATGCAATCCGGAGGGCTCCATTCTAATAAACTAGTAAAATTATAAAAATTAATGTATTCACCGATAACTTTTATATAATTTGACTTAAACAGGATTAGAACATAATTTAATGATCTAGATGGTGGCTGGGTCCCGGAACCAACACCAAGTTGGGCGGCTGCCGCTGCAGTTTTTACGTCACTGATTGTGATTAGTATGATTATATCATAATGAAAATTGTTGAACATTTATATATTTATTTAAGGGGGCTGCAGCCGATTAATAAAAAGTGACTTTTAGACCAGTAAGCTAGACAAAACTGGAAGAATTTGGTTTGACTGGTTTTAAACGTTTTTGACCGTTTTGAAAACGGATTATCATTGATCAGCAAGTTTACTAGGGAAGGATCGAGGATATTTTGAATATTTTTTTTTCAGCTGTGATATCCAAGATAAAAATACATATCTAAAAAATATGATATTTTGTATTTATATTATTTATTATGACACTAACAATAATTGGAATATTCAAAATCACCTCAATCATTCCCTAGTAAACTTGCTAGCAGTCCTTCCCCTAGTTATACAAGTATGCTATACTGGCACAACGTCTTTGCTCAGAGTCATTTATCGTATACAATGATTTATCATTGAATTCAAAAATAACATATCCATTACGACAACATGCTTGACAACTACTGTGCAGCAGAGTGGTATCCACTTTTCCACCTTTTTTATAATATGAACTAATTTAATTGTTATTGTACTGTCATCTGCCACAATCATAAATTGAAGACAAGCTAATATGATACTGGTAAAATAGGACCACCAATATAATATTATACCCTGCAATAACCCAAATGGTGTAGTGTATTTAAATAAATTGTTTCAACAAATTACTTATTTTAACAAGTTATAATATTATCTTTTATACCAGTAAAATCTTTTAAAATTCTATATCAAATGGATATATATATTTTAATTAATTTTATCTGTGTAGGTACTTTTCGAAGGATTGGATCAATGGTCTATGATTGATGAAAGAGTTTTAGCTTTGACCATAGTACAGTCACACCAATGTTTTGATGAAATAATGATAATTGTTGCTTGTGAAGATTCATCCGTGTACAGTCTGAAATTTCAAACATCAGAATATTTATTTAAAACTTCACAATCGGTTAAACAAATTGTTGCTTGTTTTGACTGCGGATATTTGACCATAGCATTTTTACTAAAACAAAATGCAAATAAAGATCAAGCTATAGAGGTAAAACACATTTTTGTAAAGACTGAATAAAGTGCTAAGTTATTATTTTTTTTTTTAGATTTGGTCAAATGAAAATAAATATGAAGTGATTGTTCATGATTTCATTAATTGTTTTGTGTTTCATGATAAAGTTATCTTGCTGTACAATGTTCATGCCATTGATGTAATTATATAAATATTAATTTATTTTATTTTCATATCTTTTTAGTGTTGTTAGTATAAATAGCTTATATGAATACGATAAAATTATACATACTATTATGTTATGACTAAACTATTTAAATATTGTTTCCTTTAAACAGATATTAAATCTCCTTGAAAAATCTACAATAAAATTGGAGATTAATTGTATTAAAATAAATGGAAGCTCGATGCTTGATCCATCAACTTTAGCTGTGGTTAACTATGGCAGATATTTGGAAATATATCAATTAACTTTAGATTGGAATTTAAATCTAATTTTCAAGTATCCAATACCATTCTCAGAACACGAGATCACACCCATCAGTGTATCAAACAATAAGAGGTTTATTGCTATTGGTGGACAAAAGCATTTAGTTGTAAGTATAATAGTTTGATATGTTTTATAACCTTTAAGAAATATAATTTAATTTTTATACCTTTTTTATTAGTGTGTTGACAAAAAATTAAACACTCATAAAAAATATACATTTGATCCAAGTGTGAATAATATACAATCAATGATTTGGTCGTCAGATGATACACGGATAGCAGTAAAAGAAGACAATCAAATAATTACTCTTGATATTGAGTCTGGTATAATACTAGCAAGTGTGAAATTAACAGTTGATAAGTTTTTTGCAAATCCCATACTAAATAAATATATTGCCGTAAATACCACTGGGCAGTTAGTAAAGTTGAATTTACCTATTGATAGCTAAAACAATATATTCATTATTCATATGACTCTCAGTATTAAATTATTATTGCATGCACTAAAATAGTAAAATAGTTTATTTATATATTCAAACACTTATATACATTGATATATTTCCCAAAAAGTGCACAATTTATGTAAGTTAAACAATTGAATACTTGAAAGTTGTCTGATTACTCATTGGATGTATCAAACACTTAATAATACATACATAACAGAGACAATCACCGTATACAATGTGTGTGTATATCAATTGTTGTACTTGAGTCTAAAAATGGTGCTATAAATGTGCTATTAGATAATATACTAATACACAATTATTAAGTTTAATAATTGTATAATTGATCATTCAATGTAATGATTTTTTGGTTTTCTTTATTTTAATGGAACAATTTTCAAAATATACCCATTTATTTTTTCAAATAGCTTTTATTTTCTTATAAACATATAAAATAATATCTGAAATAATAAATTTAGTTCTTCAAAAGATTTTTTAATATTGAATATTATTTCGCTTAAAAGCAATTAAAGACAATAATAAAATACTATCTGTGTTTATTTTATTGACTGATCAACAAAAATTGTTTTAACTTTTTAAAAAACTGGTAAATATAATATATAGACATTTTATTTAAATGCAATAAAAAAAATTGTAAATCTAAAATGTATGCTAAAATTACCTTATTTTATTATCTAACACTTGCTAGTTTATATCTACTTACTTAGACATTTAAAACTTTAAAAGTACAAAATAATAGTACAATTAAAATAGTTTGTTAATGCAAACTTCAAATATAATTTTTATAATTTTTTTTATTTAAACATTAGATAGTTCATTTTTATACTTAATTATAATAATTATTGTAATCAATGATCTTTAAATGCATTAATATTTTCGCGAACAAATTATGATTGTTAAAAAAGTTTCAAAAGTACAAATTTAATGCATATTTAGAAAATGTGATATTTATATTAATATTTTGTCCTGGTATTGACTATAATATATCATATCAAAAAACTGTATTTTTTTAATCCAGGATAATAATTATTGTTGGATAATATTTTTATATTTTTGATACTTTTTGGTATTTTAGTACTTATATTTTGTAATACTACAGTGTCTAACAAGGGTTTACTAATTTAAAATGACTGGATAGTATATTTATTTTTATCTCCCGTCATTTTTAATCAGTGAATGTTTGTTGGAAGGTGATAGACAATAGTGTTTACTGACTAATATTTAATCTTGTTTGATACAATATTACACGTAAAATTCTTATTTTACCTTTTGTATTTTGATTAAATATAAAATATGTTTTCCTTTATTTTTACTGTTAATATTGAATTATAATTGAATAAAATGATTTATTTGTAATATTTGTAATAAATAATTTTATTTGCTCAAATTGTTTTGATACCTTATTTACGGATAGCGGTGAATTGGTCGCGAACAATTGATCGCCGGTGAATTGGTCGCCGGTGAATTGATCGCGGGTGAATTTATCGTGAATATAATTGGTCGCTAGGATAATTGATCGTCAAACGAACAATTTTAGTTTTTTAATTATTTTATTATACTCAATACATAGTTAATATTTAATATATATTATATACACATCCTAGTTTTATGTTTATTATTTTAGAAGATTCAAATACTCTTATTTATTTTTAAATAACGTACAGTAAATCCAATTTACAATGGGATTAACAGATATAATAATCTTAAATACTATTATATGATGTACACACAAGATAATTGAACTAGCGTGGCAATAACATAGATAAGCTTATACGACCGTTATCGATTTATCGTCATCTATATTCCGATGGTCGTACCAATTTGTCATTACATACTTGCATTTGTTAGTCCATGCTAGTACGTTATTGTGTGTGTTTACTGTTTTTTTAAACAGTTTGTTTGTTCAAGTATCCAATACCATTCTCAGAACACGAGATCACACCCATCAGTGTATCAAACAATAAGAGGTTTATTGCTATTGGTGGACAAAAGCATTTAGTTGTAAGTATAATAGTTTGATATGTTTTATAACCTTTAAGAAATATAATTTAATTTTTATACCTTTTTTATTAGTGTGTTGACAAAAAATTAAACACTCATAAAAAATATACATTTGATCCAAGTGTGAATAATATACAATCAATGATTTGGTCGTCAGATGATACACGGATAGCAGTAAAAGAAGACAATCAAATAATTACTCTTGATATTGAGTCTGGTATAATACTAGCAAGTGTGAAATTAACAGTTGATAAGTTTTTTGCAAATCCCATACTAAATAAATATATTGCCGTAAATACCACTGGGCAGTTAGTAAAGTTGAATTTACCTATTGATAGCTAAAACAATATATTCATTATTCATATGACTCTCAGTATTAAATTATTATTGCATGCACTAAAATAGTAAAATAGTTTATTTATATATTCAAACACTTATATACATTGATATATTTCCCAAAAAGTGCACAATTTATGTAAGTTAAACAATTGAATACTTGAAAGTTGTCTGATTACTCATTGGATGTATCAAACACTTAATAATACATACATAACAGAGACAATCACCGTATACAATGTGTGTGTATATCAATTGTTGTACTTGAGTCTAAAAATGGTGCTATAAATGTGCTATTAGATAATATACTAATACACAATTATTAAGTTTAATAATTGTATAATTGATCATTCAATGTAATGATTTTTTGGTTTTCTTTATTTTAATGGAACAATTTTCAAAATATACCCATTTATTTTTTCAAATAGCTTTTATTTTCTTATAAACATATAAAATAATATCTGAAATAATAAATTTAGTTCTTCAAAAGATTTTTTAATATTGAATATTATTTCGCTTAAAAGCAATTAAAGACAATAATAAAATACTATCTGTGTTTATTTTATTGACTGATCAACAAAAATTGTTTTAACTTTTTAAAAAACTGGTAAATATAATATATAGACATTTTATTTAAATGCAATAAAAAAAATTGTAAATCTAAAATGTATGCTAAAATTACCTTATTTTATTATCTAACACTTGCTAGTTTATATCTACTTACTTAGACATTTAAAACTTTAAAAGTACAAAATAATAGTACAATTAAAATAGTTTGTTAATGCAAACTTCAAATATAATTTTTATAATTTTTTTTATTTAAACATTAGATAGTTCATTTTTATACTTAATTATAATAATTATTGTAATCAATGATCTTTAAATGCATTAATATTTTCGCGAACAAATTATGATTGTTAAAAAAGTTTCAAAAGTACAAATTTAATGCATATTTAGAAAATGTGATATTTATATTAATATTTTGTCCTGGTATTGACTATAATATATCATATCAAAAAACTGTATTTTTTTAATCCAGGATAATAATTATTGTTGGATAATATTTTTATATTTTTGATACTTTTTGGTATTTTAGTACTTATATTTTGTAATACTACAGTGTCTAACAAGGGTTTACTAATTTAAAATGACTGGATAGTATATTTATTTTTATCTCCCGTCATTTTTAATCAGTGAATGTTTGTTGGAAGGTGATAGACAATAGTGTTTACTGACTAATATTTAATCTTGTTTGATACAATATTACACGTAAAATTCTTATTTTACCTTTTGTATTTTGATTAAATATAAAATATGTTTTCCTTTATTTTTACTGTTAATATTGAATTATAATTGAATAAAATGATTTATTTGTAATATTTGTAATAAATAATTTTATTTGCTCAAATTGTTTTGATACCTTATTTACGGATAGCGGTGAATTGGTCGCGAACAATTGATCGCCGGTGAATTGGTCGCCGGTGAATTGATCGCGGGTGAATTTATCGTGAATATAATTGGTCGCTAGGATAATTGATCGTCAAACGAACAATTTTAGTTTTTTAATTATTTTATTATACTCAATACATAGTTAATATTTAATATATATTATATACACATCCTAGTTTTATGTTTATTATTTTAGAAGATTCAAATACTCTTATTTATTTTTAAATAACGTACAGTAAATCCAATTTACAATGGGATTAACAGATATAATAATCTTAAATACTATTATATGATGTACACACAAGATAATTGAACTAGCGTGGCAATAACATAGATAAGCTTATACGACCGTTATCGATTTATCGTCATCTATATTCCGATGGTCGTACCAATTTGTCATTACATACTTGCATTTGTTAGTCCATGCTAGTACGTTATTGTGTGTGTTTACTGTTTTTTTATTTTATAATAATGGAGTTCATAAAGAGTGAAAAAGGCAAAGATAAATTAATTTATAACGGTTATATGTATACTTTTGAAAAATTTGGAACCGAAGAAAAGTCAATATGGAAATGTGATCAATATAAAAAAATGAAATGTAAAGGTCGCATTCATTCTCTTAATAATGAAATACTTAAAGAAATACAACACAATCATGTACAAGATTCTGGAAATATTGAAGCTGCCAAAGCCGTTAATTTGATCAAAAATATGGCTACGCAAAATGTGGATTTGAGTACTCGCGCTGTAATTAGCTCAGCTTCGACATCTGTAAGTTAATATTAAATAAATCCTTCTCAGTATCTATTGTATATTTTAACATAAGATTTTTTTTATAAGTATTTAAAGTTCAAATTTAAAATTCAAAAAATGCAATATAAAATGCACTTAAAATGGTTTTTAATTTAATTTTTATATTTATATTGCAGATAGTATAGGATATTATACATTAGTACATTAGTTTTTACATGCATAAAAATGTGTTTATTTAATAAAAAAAAATTAAAATGTTGATTGAAACAAAGTTAAAATATGTGAATTATCGGAACTTAATTTATTAAAAATACCGGAAAATGAACTAAAAAAGGAAAATACGTGCGCCCGGTCACCTAACTGCTTCGTACGCTACACCGACCGACCTGTATAAAGTGTGTATTTTTGTATAGCGATAATAATAAATATTAAATGTGTACCTATAACTATAATATAAAATACTATAAAATACCTAAAATATAAATACCTAAAAAATACTATAAAATATATCTATATAATTAAATTAAAAATGTATGTTTTTTTTTTAAATTGGATAGTTGACAAGTGCTGCTGCAGGGCAAATGCCGTCATTGTCTGTCTTAAAGAGAACAGTACGGCGTATTCGACAAAAAGAACAAGCTGCTCCACCAAACCCAAAAACTTTATTAGAATTGATCATACCAGACGATTATAGAACAACATTTGACGGAAAACCTTTTTTATTGTTCGACAGTGGTCCTGTAGAAAATAGAATTTTAATTTTCTCCACCCAAAAAAACCTACAACTTCTACAAAAATGTGAACACTGGTTTGCTGATGGCACTTTTTCTACGTCACCAAATTTATTTTACCAAATTTACACTGTTCACGGAATTCAATTTAATAATGTTTTTCCATCAATATTTGCATTGCTACCAAATAAAACGGAAACCACATATGTTAATTTCTACAACGCATTAAAAACATTGAACGAATCATTAAATCCAAAATCAATTATGGTTGATTTTGAAAAAGCTGCGATTAATGCGATTCAAAGTGTTTTTACCAACACATCAGTTCGTGGGTGCTTTTTTCATCTATCGCAAAGCATTTGGAGACGCTTGCAAAATTTAGGATTCCAAAAAAGGTACATGGAAGACTCGGAATTTGCTTTGCAAATTAGGATGATGGCAGCACTTAGTTTTGTACCAGAAGAGGATGTAGAAAATGCTTGGAATGAACTACTGGACTCAGAATTTTATTCACTGAACGAAGAAATATTAACACCTTTAACAAATTATTTTGAAGATACGTGGATTGGACGTCTTGATCGAAGAAATCGAAGGAAACCAGCATTATTTCCAGTGACGCTGTGGAACTGTTTTAAATATATTTTCGAAAATATCCCCCGGACCAACAATTCTGTTGAAGGGTGGCATAATGGATTTGCATCTAGTCTGAACGCATGTCATCCAACTATATGGAAATGTATAGATTCGTTCAAAAAGGAGGAGAGCCTTATCAAGTTACAGACAGAACAACTAATTGCAGGAATGACGATAGGTGTTAAACGGAAGTACAAAGACCATGCAGAAAAAATTATAAAAATATGTGACGACTATCATACTAGGTGTAAATTAGACTTTTTAAAAGGAATAGCACATAATTTTCAACTCCAACTTTAAATAAAATTAACTTTAAATAAATTAAAATGTATAATTATTAATATTATTATTATTATTATTATTTTATTTGTATTATTATTATTATTTATTTATTTATTATAATTTTAAATTTAATTAACTGTGAGAAACTTTAAAAGCATAAAACTCAGAAATATACTTAATATTATAATAAAATAATTAAAAAACTAAAATTGTTCGTTTGGCGATCAATTATCCTAGCGACCAATTATATCCACGATAAATTCACCCGCGATCAGTTCACCGGCGACCAATTCACCGGCGATCAATTGTTCGCGACCAATTCACCGGATACCCTTATTTACTTATTAATAAAAATTACAACAATTTGTTGTTTCATCATATTTGTTATATTTATTATATAATATTGTGCATTTCATGCTTCTGGTTGGTTTTAGATTCTGAGTGAAACGATGAATGTATTGATTTTACAATGATGTGTGTTTTTTTTTTTATTTTTTATTTTAGATTCTGAGTGAAACGATGAATGTATTGATTTTACAATGATGTGTGTTTTTTTTTTTATTTTATTTTTTATTTTATTTTTTATTTTATTTTTTATTTTTTTTGTGTCTGTGTACACGATAAGTAGTCGAAATAATGCTTCGATTTTCGACTTCAGTATCTTGTTCGATTGGAAAGTGAATATCGTTGGTGCATTGGGGAGGTCAAAATTTAAATTTCCCAGTAGTTTTCAAGAGCGCCGGGAAAAACAAAAGAAAAATTAAGGAAAAACGGGAATTTTTACGCAAAATCGATTTTTCAGAAAATTGAATTTGGTTTTTGGTGTAACTTTAAAACAAATGACCGTAGGTACATGCAATTTTCACTGGTTGTTTATATTTGCATCTTCTATACACGATAACATTTTCAAAATATTTTGATTTATTTTGAACAGTTTAGGGACATTTTCATTTTTAGTTTTTTTTTAGTTTTTTTTCTAGAAATATCAATAAAATTTTATTTGTTGGTTGCGAAAGCTTGAAAATTTAATAGAAGGCTCCTAATATATTGTTTCAAGGGCAGATGAAAAATATTAAAAATCCTTAGTCACAATTTTTTTTTATAAGCATTTAAAGTTCAAAAATTGACAAAATATGGAAAAATCACGAAAATTAGCAAATTATTTTGAGTTAAGAATTCGTAAAAATTTTTCTTTTTAAATCTAAGATTTGAAAATCTAATACAAGATTACTCATAAGATTGTCTACCTTTATCAATAAAAAAATCTCTACCGGAAAGTCAAATTAAATTTTTATGAGCGTTTGAAATTCAAATTTTTACAACATTGGATATTCACTCGATTTCTCATGTGGCAATTTCCTTTTTTTGTTGTAATTAAAAAACGAATTACTGTAGATACATGAAAATTTCACTGAATGTTTATATTAGCATTTCCTATACACCATACAATTTTGAAAATATTTTGACTCTTTTTGAGCCGTTTACGGACATTTTCAGTTTTCAATTTTTTTAGTTTTTTTTTTCTATAAATATTAATTAAGTTTTATCTGTTGGGCCAAAAAGTGTAAAAATTTAATACAAGGCTCCTGATATATTGTTACAATATCAGTTGAAAAATATTAAAAATACATAGGCACAATTTTTTTTTATAAGCATTTTAACATCGAATTTTGACAGAATTTTCAAAATCTCGAAAATTATTAATCATCGTAATTAATAAATTATAAAATGTTCAGTTTTTATAGCTAAGGATTGAAAATTTAAAACAAGATTTCACGTAAGTAGTTAATTCTCTTACCGAAAAATCTAAAAAATATACAATCAAAGTTTATTTTTATAGTCATTTTATGTTCAAATTTTGACGAAATTACATATTAAAAAACCTAGTTATTTTGTTGTGATTATATAATATTATTCGTGGGTACCTACTTGAAACTTCTAAAGTGTACTATTATATATATATGATAGTATCAGGGTTTGTTGTTGGTGTATAACGTGTTATTAGTACCTAATGGATATTGTGATAATGTGATATGATTAATTTGGAATTTATTATAGGTCAATTTTTTTTTAATACCATAGATATGTATATAATTTGTCTTAACCTAGACTGACATACCGTCTTCGCTCAGAATCGTTTTTCTTATACAATGATATTGTATCATTGAATTCAAATTTAATAGCATCAATTATACAGTGACCCACTTGTAACCTACTGTACAGCAGAGCGACATCCACTTACCCACCTTTTAGATTCTGAGTGAAACGATGAATGTATTGATTTTACAATGATGTGTGTTTTTTTTTTTATTTTTTTTTTATTTTTTTTTTATTTTTTTTTTTATTTTTTTTTTTATTTTATTTTTTATTTTATTTTTTATTTTATTTTTTATTTTTTTTGTGTCTGTGTACACGATAAGTAGTCGAAATAATGCTTCGATTTTCGACTTCAGTATCTTGTTCGATTGGAAAGTGAATATCGTTGGTGCATTGGGGAGGTCAAAATTTAAATTTCCCAGTAGTTTTCAAGAGCGCCGGGAAAAACAAAAGAAAAATTAAGGAAAAACGGGAATTTTTACGCAAAATCGATTTTTCAGAAAATTGAATTTGGTTTTTGGTGTAACTTTAAAACAAATGACCGTAGGTACATGCAATTTTCACTGGTTGTTTATATTTGCATCTTCTATACACGATAACATTTTCAAAATATTTTGATTTATTTTGAACAGTTTAGGGACATTTTCATTTTTAGTTTTTTTTTAGTTTTTTTTCTAGAAATATCAATAAAATTTTATTTGTTGGTTGCGAAAGCTTGAAAATTTAATAGAAGGCTCCTAATATATTGTTTCAAAGGCAGATGAAAAATATTAAAAATCCTTAGTCACAATTTTTTTTTATAAGCATTTAAAGTTCAAAAATTGACAAAATATGGAAAAATCACGAAAATTAGCAAATTATTTTGAGTTAAGAATTCGTAAAAATTTTTCTTTTTAAATCTAAGATTTGAAAATCTTATACAAGATTACTCATAAGATTGTCTACCTTTATCAATAAAAAAATCTCTACCGGAAAGTCAAATTAAATTTTTATGAGCGTTTGAAATTCAAATTTTTACAACATTGGATATTCACTCGATTTCTCATGTGGCAATTTCCTTTTTTTGTTGTAATTAAAAAACGAATTACTGTAGATACATGAAAATTTCACTGAATGTTTATATTAGCATTTCCTATACACCATACAATTTTGAAAATATTTTGACTCTTTTTGAGCCGTTTACGGACATTTTCAGTTTTCAATTTTTTTAGTTTTTTTTTTCTATAAATATTAATTAAGTTTTATCTGTTGGGCCAAAAAGTGTAAAAATTTAATACAAGGCTC